TCTTTAATGTAAATATTATATAAAAATAAAAACATACTTTTTAAAAGTTTTTGATAACTCGAAATTTTTAGTAAGTCGAATTATTTTTCCTCCTTGAAATTCGAGTTACTGAGATTCGACTGTATAAACATATTTCACTAAATTAGGGTTTAGACATGTGAAAGGATTTAACGGGGGAGCAGGGAAGATGTAAGGGGAGTCAATCCCCACCTACTACAGGGCTTATAAAGCATCCCCTTGAACATTTCTCCGATAAGTGTATTGAAACGCTTAACAGTTTGTTAAAAATAATCATACACTGTAAAACAGTTGAAAAATTATTTTTACAGTTCGGTTTATGTCACTAGGTTAGGTATTAGACAGTGTTCTACAAACAAAATTAACTAATATTAAATATAAATTATATATTTATATATATGTTTTTTTAGTTATTTTTATTTTATCAAAATATAATTTAAATTTATAATTTAAAACAATCAGTATGTAATTTATATGTTTATACATTTATACAGAACTTGAATAATTTGTGGAGGAAATTGTTGACTAAAAACATTTCATACTATATATGTACACCTATTTATAATTAATTACCCTGTAATTGTATGGGACTATATGGAACGCTGTAAATGATATACAGATTAGAGTCCTCCCTGCCTTTCTTTGCTACTTTAAACCCTGGAACGTGTAAGCTTATTTTGGAACCGGTGATTAAACTTCCGTAGAAATTACATCAGTGAAAGGTTGTGAGAAAAATACGCAATCGTCAAGCCGCATCCGAATTTTGTTTTCATGAGTGAACTGTGTAATAAGTATAAGTCACCTAAGCTTCAAATTACAGATTTCACTCAAGAACGGTGCATCCAATCTAAGTGACCAGTTATATTACATTATAGTAACATTCAGTGGCGTATCCATAGGGGGTTTGGGGGTCAACCCCCCTCCCCACGAACCTGAGATGGTAAATTAACTTTACATGAAAGACGGTTTTTATTTAACATTTTTATATTTTAGAATATTGACTTGAAAATCATATTAATAGTTTGTATTAACACTATAAACGTATTAAACACACGCTGTACAGACACACGCACACACACACACAAGTTATTGAACTTAAAATATACAACTATACAAATATTATGATAATTAAATAATTATATTGATAGGTGTTTGAAAAGTTTTGTTAACTATGCTGTTTTTATATTCCAATAGCTATTAATTTACTGTAATGTAAAATTAAACTGTAAATTGGTAAAAAAGTTATATAAAATAATATCTATTTATAATAGTTATTTATCTTATTTATCTGTGCAACGAAAAAAAAAGATATCGATTATTTTCGTTAACCCCCCCAGAGTAAGATTGAATATACGCCACTGATTATGTGAATTATTTAACTGTATAACAACATATTTGAAGCCATAGTTTTAAACGGAAAATTTAAAGGTGAACATGTACTATTATCACACATCCCACTGACTCCATTAAATAATCCATTGGAATTCAAACTTTTGTAGTTTCCAGTGCGAATCGCTTTTGCAATGATCTTGAACAAATTATAAGGAAAATTAAAACAAGTGTTTGGACTGAATTTTGAAAATTCATGCTTCTCACATGTATAACTGTGTGTGGCCTGCCCACGTGTCAGAAAACCTGATTTATTTGTGTACGCACCACAAAAAGAAAAACAAAAAATATTGTGTAATCCAACTACACTTTAATAAATAGTATTTATTTGAAACCTTGAATTTTCAGACTTTTCTCAATAAAATGAATAAATAAAAAAATAATAATCCAAAATAAATTGAACATTGTTGTATGGATATTAGTACTTATTTAAATATAGTAAACGGTACAGCAAGGCGTGGTTTTATATTTACTTATTATAATAAAGTGATTTTATTTATACACAAATTGTTGTATTATATATATTTATATATAATAATATATTATATATAATAACACATAATACACAAATTGATACTTCAACCGCTATTTCGGGTGATTTATACTTAAAAAGGCATAGGTTCAACGGTAACACCCAAAAATAGTTTAACACTCATCATTTTCTCAACGGACAACGTCAGGTATTACTCACTCATTGATCATCGCTACATCTCAATACTATATGAACTCGAAATTTGACATGGTCGTTTCTCCAATTTTCAATACATGCAACAAGAAAGGATTTTAAATATATAAATACATTCAAATGTATGTATCTAACATACGTTTATATATATAATATTTAGATTAGGTATTTTGGAAGGGTTAATATAATTTCTTCATCTATTATAGGGGCGGTAAATTGTTGGTGCCTATAGCCGTAAAAAAGATAAATCCGCTACTGGTGATGGTTATTCGACGATGTCGACAGGCGGGAATGCATACATAAAATAAGGGGTGTATTTAGGGGGGGGGGGTGATATGGGTGTTGGAACACTTCCCATCGACCGTATTTTGTGGTATTTCACCGAATTGCAAACTTAATTACAGTATAATTTAACTAAAAGTAGGTATATGTAAATCTAATCAGTTATATAGATACATGGTATTTATAAATGTAAGGAGTAGGGAGGCAGAACCCTCACTTACTATAAGTCTATTAAATTTTAAAACACCCCCGTTAAATGAATCCTGGATACGCTACTGCATAAAATTATTCGATTTTGTCGGTAGACGTTTTAAAAAAACACATTTTAAACTCAAATGTACTTTACTTTCACCGGTCATTGACGTAATTTATTAAGTCCGGTGGTGGTAAGTGATAATAAACTTCAAATAATACATTGGTTGTTTTACAACAGGTACTATTTAAAAGTTATTTATTATTGGTGTGTGCTTCATATTTTATTTTAGGTATTTCTTAATCGAAATGAACAAAATATGTCCATATTATAAATTATTTATCTGTACAGTATCGGTTATCATGACGTTTTGAATCGCACAATATTTCTGCTGCATTGCAAACGAACTGTACAGCGTCACATCCGATTCTGCATCGATCGAAGCCACACGAATGCACAAATATTCAACCGTCCTGCGACCATACGCGTAAAGTTATTTTCCTATCTTTAATCTTTTTTTATAGCTTCATCTAGGACAATACACTCAGTACTGCTAACACACATTTTGACAGTGATCCGGATTACACGGATTTCACCATGAACAATTGTTATTGATTTTTTCATTATTTTTTTCCGAAGATTTTTTCTATTCTTCCGCGTTAGTTGAAACGTTCAGACTATGGTACGGGTATGGGTCTAGTCGAATAATAAAAGTGAAATAATATTTTTCATCAAACTAAATATCTTAATAATATAACATTATCTGATTATCTTATCGTTATTAAAGCTATTGTAAAATAAAATAAAATTCCACTATAAAAGTAGTTAAAATTGTAATCGCATTGCATCAGTTTCCTAAACAAAAACTATTCCATACTCGAGATATTCATTCTAGTGACCTACAGTATTATTAAATTATTATTTTTAAACGGTTCAAGTAAATTAAACATTTATTTAGCACTTATTTTATTATTTCCAGTGGTTATAAATGAAAATTTCATTAAACAAGATTTATGCATAAATTCAAATTTTGACTTATTTTGTAAATAGAAAAAAACTTTTTATACAAAAAAACGTTTAAAAAAAATAATCTATCCGAATATGTAAAAAAAAAGTAGTGTTTCCATTAAAAAAAATTTAAGTTGTGTTGCGTATGCGCTCACCAAAATTGAAAATTTGAAAATCATAAATAAATGTGTATTTAAGTACCACCCCCTAATCACTCTAAAATATTCACTTCAATACAAGGACATCAAACTGAGATATTTAGTGTTACCTTAAACAGTGATCCACTGTATATAAGTAACTTATTATTATTGATTCGGACAAGGAAAGGTAAGAAGACAGAATTCGGGAGATAAGCACTTTATTCGACTTAATATCACGTGTATTCGTTGTACGTCACTAGATTCCACATTTTCATCGATGGCTGCGGCACGGGAGCAAAAAAAATTCACCACCGTTTTGGAATGTGATGGCTAATGTACGAATGAATACAACACACAAGTAATACTCAAACAAAATAAAAGGAGTTAGAAATTATATTTTTAGAAATAAAATACATTTGTAGGTAATATTAATATTATAATCTCGTATCACAAAACGTCAGTAAAAAATTATTCACAATAAAACACACAATGCTATGTATATAAAGGTAGAATATTACATTTAAAAAACAGTAGTAAAATATAAAATATGATCTAAACATCATAAATTGTTGTTGACATGGTTGTTTGCCGAAAAATTATTTGAAGTAGGTACGTAATATATATTATATACGTTTATTAAGTAAAAAATTATTTCACTGATCTAATTATATTGAAAAAAAATGTTAAATATATATATATTTATATATTAATTAATAGCTAAACTTATGAACAATGAAATATTTACAGTATTATGTTATCCACTCATGTTTATCTGTGTGTTCGAGAGGCAGAAGACGTTTTGTAAATAAAAAAAAAAGCGAATAACAAAAACGTTTCGTTGTAGTACATAACATGTATTTCCATCCTCCATTCGATAGTTGCAAAAAATTGTTAATTTCTAACTTAAAAATTGTTACTATTATATACAAGACGAAATGTCATCATGTTAACGTGGACTTCTGCCTGTTAAACAACTCAGATAAAAATCCGAAGGCGTTATTTCAATAAATGTTTTGTATTTAATCATGGAGCCCATGAGTACTGGATTGGGCTTGGTTAAAACGAATCATATGCCGTATAAATATTTCTTATCAATTGTCTTATAAAATACGAGTAAATGGCAGCAGCGATTAAACATTATAGTACATGATACATTGTACAAAACAGTAGTATTTTAGTGATTGCGAACAATTCGGAATTCGTTGTGTCTGGACGGTTAGAAATTTTGGTACAAAATATTATAAAATATCGATTACATATATAAAAGCCGTATAAAATTTAAAAAAAATTTTCTTTTAGTTTTTCATGTTCAAAATGATTTGGGTCATCAAGTGCAAGCGTATTGCTTATCACCGTTACTCGTATCGATGATTAATATAAATCCCACCATCATTCGTGTGAATTCGTCAGAAATGGTTAGACATTGTAAATAATTATTAACGTTTTTCTTCTACTAAATAATGTCGTACAATAAATTAAACTAACCTATTTTTTTTTAATAAACTAAAAGTAATAAATAAAATACTCATTAGAACCAGTCTCCAATGTTTTCACGATGGCATACCATGTTTGTCTTTTTTTCTTCGTAAATGAGGATGGTATTGTTTTTTTGTATTGAGCAACGCGCGATGCCGCGAAAATTGACATTTCACGATATGGTTGAAATTAAAAAAAAAAAAAAAAAAAATCGAGTAAAAATAAATACAATATTTTGACGGTCTACTTTTGGTTCTCGTTGCTCGTATATATATTAATAATTGTTTTCGTTAACAGTGGTGGTATTTGGCACTTTGTCGTCGAACCCATTATTTGTTATCTGTATTCACCTCTTCCTTTGGTCAACCGCTTCTGCCATAATTTTTCTGAGCATAGGCTCCGGGCTGCAAGGTTTGGGGTCGCATTTCATTTTGCCGTCGGCGCCGCATCTGCAAAAAAAATCGAAAACAAAACGAATCAACGAATGGTTTCAACGAGACTCGCACTAGTCGTAGCGTGAAAAGTTAAAAAAAAAAAAAAAAAAATGATAAAACTCTTACATGCACTCGAGACAGGGTCCGGAAGCGATGCCCACATCTTCGCCCACGCGGTACGCGTGTCCGTGAATGAGACACCCGGTCCGTCTAGCCGCTCCGCGGTAAGCGTTGGCGAAGAAATGCGGCGGAACCATGGTGGTGGTCGTGGTCGTTGTCGTGGTCACGTTCACCGAGGTGGCCTGCGCTACCGGGCACTCGTACCTGGGACAACAGAATCCTTGAATGTTCTCCTGGTAGCATCCGAATATTGGCGGTGGGCAGCTCTGTTGCAGGCAGATAATGTCACCACGGAAACAGAAACAGAAATCGCACGGGTCCTCTCTGGGCACCTGCTGCGCGGATACGTATATCTTGCCCCCGTATCTGTATCGTTGGACAGAAAAACGTTTTTGCGTCAATAACAATGCCGAAAAACACGATAAGGTTTGACTTGAAAATGTTAATAGCTCACCTGCACGTGCCCGGCCCGTAAACGGCTTCGTTCTCGTCGTCGTATTCGTCCGGGAATCCTTGGTCCGGCTGCGGCGCTTCGGACGTGCTGTCTTGGTGGAACGGCTTTTGAGTCCACGTCGACTGCGGGATCGGTGTGTACTGCGGTCTGCTGCTGGCGTAAGAAGCCGACGTGGGAGTGCTCGAAGACGGTTTCGACAACGGCTTCTCTTCGGTGTCCAATGGTATGTTCACCACGTCACCGGATGATTCCTGTGGACGTTTGTTGTCCTCGTGGACTACCGTTGGTGCGGCGGGTGAGCTGCTCGGCACTCCAAACCGTTTATCGCCGTTTTCCGAAGTCTCGGCGTCCGCGTACTCGGTAGTCGACGAGTAACCGGGTACAGACTGTGTCGTTATTTCAGTCAGTGTACCGTCGGCGTTGACTTCGAATTCCTGAGAAATCGGCCGCTCCGCGATGGGTTTCTCCTGTTCCGCTGGCCTATTCGCCGTATCGTCCGTGAGCACTTCCTGTTGCGCAGACGACGGGAACACTTGCGTGGTAATCTCTGGCGCCTTGTCATTGCTGGTCAGCACTTCGGGTAGGTTCGTATTCGATTCGACGTCAGCTTGAGCAATAACCGGATTGCTAGTAGCCACTATCGGTCCGTTACTCGTCTGGTCTTGTTCTGAATTCGGCACGTTCTGTATTGTCGTGACATCTGCTATTTTATCGTCGAGCGTTCCCTCGGGTTGGTTTACATTGATGTCAGCTACATTCGGACTGGTGGGGATCTCCTGTTTGTCCGGAACAATCGATGGTAACTCGGTTGATGTTCCTTGATCGGCGTTCACCGATGGTGATATATCTGGAACTTGGGTCGGCCTCACTTCGTCAGACGGCACCACCACATCAGGACGTTCTGGTAATTTTTCGTTGATGTCATCTGTTTGTAATTCTGGCACAGTGTTCACACTACTCGATGTGGTTTGTGGCTCGTCGTATTTATCTACCAACACATTTTCCGAAGATGGGTTAACTGCGTTTTCGGGCACAACTGTCAGTTGGTAGTTTTCAATCAATCCGGTAGTGGTTTGATAGTCGATTTCTGCAGGTTTTGATGAAGTTTCCAATGAATTTTTAACCGCGTCTTTGACCATATTTACTGATGAAATTATGTCGTCGATGCTGGTTGGTCTCAAACCATTGACGTTGTTTTCGACGGCTGTGGGGTTGGCATCTGCTATAATGGTGGGAGTTTGAGTCACTTCTAAGGGCTTAACGTCACTTGAAGGTAAATCAATAACACCAGTCACAGGTACTGCGTCAAGCTTTTCGTCGGCCGTCGGTTTACCATCTTCTTCTACCGTTTTATTATCATCAATTTGTTGATCAACAATAGAGTTATTGGGTTTGTATGTAGTCGCTGTTACTGAGTCATCTGATCCTACATTTTGTTCTGATAGGTTTTGATCGTTAGTTGGAATTATATTCGTTATTGCCGATTCAGAACTTGGTATTTCTGTGGATGGTGATAAATTATCTTGAGATTCATTGACCGCGTTCGGTAATGTATTCTGTTCTTCAATATTGTTTACCACCTCAGGCTTATTAGTTACTTTTTGTTCATTATCTGCGTAAGAAGCTGTTGTAACGTCAGCTTCAGAGTCATCTGTTAGTTTTTCATTCTCTGTGACCTGATCGCTTTCTACTGGTTTTTCATTTTCTGATGGTTGATCGCTTTCTACTGGTTTTTCATTTTCTGATGGTTTATCGCTTTCTACTGGTTTTTCATTTTCTGATGGTTTATCGCTTTCTACTGGTTTTTCATTTTCTGATGGTTTATCGCTTTCTACTGGTTTTTCATATTCTGATGGTTTATCGCTTTCTACTGGTTTTTCATTTTCTGATGGTTTATCGCTTTCCACTGGCTTTTCATTTTTCAAAGGCTGTCCATTCTTTACTGGTTTGTCACTGATATCTACCGGCTTATCATTTTCAGTTGGTTTATCATTTTCTACTGTACCAAGACTATTAGTAGTTGTTGGTATATTATTATCTACGTCAGTAGCCACCTCATTTTCTAATGGCTTGTTGATGATTTCACTTGGCGTTGAAACCTCAGTCATACCCATGGAATCTTGTGAATTAATAATCTTGTCCGTTTGAGAAGGTGGTAAAGTATTATATTCGGATGCAATTTGAGGACTAGGCGTACTCGAAACTTCTTCGTCTAAATGCGTCTTATCATCGTTTTCTTCGCCTGGCTTATCTTCTAAAACTACGGTTGATATTAATTGTGGAGATCCAAGCTGATTGTTACTTTCAAATAGCACTCCTTCTATGCCTCCTTCTGTAAAATAAAAAAAATAATTACGTTAGTTTTTATATTAATATAGTTGAGTCGATCTATTTTAATTTGTTATTAAGTTGATTAATATTAACAGAAAATAAATAATTTAAACGTAATTTATGCTGAAATAATTACTCACCACACATGTATGACGGACAACACCATGATTCGTTTCCTGGGTGTAGAGGTATGCAATTTCTATGCTGAGGCGGTGCTGGTGGACAGTTAACCGATGTACATGTAACAATACTATTTAAACATTCGCACTTTTCATGACATGGATTGGATTTAGGTACTTCGGATTTATGAGCATAAGTAACAAAATCAATTAAACAACTTCCTTCCCCGGGAACTCCAGCTTGTACGTTATCATATAATTCAGTTGTATCACTATTTTTATCAATATTTGATGTCGTAACATCGTTTACGGCATTTGCTTGGTCTTCAGTTTCAATTGATCCGGAGATGAAACTTGGTATTACAGTGGTAATGTCAATAACATAATCAGGCTTTTTTGAAACCGTCGGCTTACCAGCATTATCTGACGTCTCTGAAGGATTTCCATTAATAATTTCATTAGTATTTGTTTGTGAATTGTTAGTTTGAACAGGTAAGTTTGAAATTGCTTCCATTGTGGCGTCATTTTCGGGTGTTTTGTTAGAATCAACAGTTGAAAAATTTGTTTCTGTTGGTGATTGAGTAGTATATGATTCAGATTCAGAAACGGAATCTTGATTTACCTCGTTAGGAATTTCCGAATAAGGAGGAATATTAGTACCCGTTTCTATATTGTTATTAAGATTCACGTTTGGAGTTTCTTGGATCGGGCCATTTGTCGACGAATCATCAGTTATATATTGAGTTGATGTTTCATCAGATGGTATACTTTGTTGCGGTACAATAGTTGCTGGACGATTATTGTCTACATTTGTTTCGACATCATTAGCTGGATTTAAAGATGGGTTAACATCATTTTCATCAGAAATACTTGCTGGGGCATTTGTTATCGAAGCTAAAGATGGTATTTCAGTATAACTATTAGTCGTTTCTATATTATCTGCATTTTCTGAACTTCCTTGATTAACTTGTTCCGCTTGAGAAATTGTTGAATTTTCATTTTCTAACGGAACGGCTCCGTCGTTATTTTTAATGGGTTCTTCTCCATAATTTTGTGCATTTGTACTAGTTTCAACTTTATCCGACAATGGAGTAGAATTTTCTATGTTATTTTGAAACAAACCATTGGCTGAATTCAAATTGTTTTCGTTATTCGAAGAAGTGTCCGGATATACAGATGTTTGATCTTCTATCTCATTGACGTTTTCATCTTGTGATTGTACATGAGGTGTTACACTTTCGTTTTCGTTGATTAGTACTGGATTTTGTGTAGAAACAAATTGTTCAGTACCATTAGGATCCAATACAGGTGATTCGGTTGGTTTGGAAATATCATCAGAATGTTGGATTCCGCTCACTTCAGATTTTTTCGGTGTAGTATTTTCTGACAAAACAGTTGGTGTTTCAGTTTTATCGTCTGCCAGAACAGGCTCACTTGGATTGATTGATTCTACAGGTATAACAGGAATATTGTTATCGGTAACTTGTTGTTGTGGCAAAGAAGTTGTGAAATCATTAATGTGTTCAATTGAAGCCGATGGATATTCATTTGTCGACGATTCTGTTTCTGTCGGACTTTCGGTTTGTGGAGCGATTTGATGTTCTAGTGGATCTAAAGCGGGAGTATCTGCATCTCCTTCGTCCACCGAGTCGTTTTCTTGTGAAGAAACGTCGTCTACTAATATATCTTGATTTGTTATTCCCAAATTAACATCGTGATTAGATTCAGTAGTTGGTGTTACCGATGGTTCCGAATTCACCAGGTTATTCGATCCAAATTTGTTATTTAAATTTGTTACAATTGGTTTTGAGTCATGAGAATCAACCGGAGCAATAGTCACGTCATTAGATACTTCAACGTTGACTCCGTTTTCAACGGGTTTTGTTTCAGTTGAATGTTCCGTATTTTCGTCATTTGTTTGTGGTAATATGTTATTGCTTTCTGGAGCTATTTCAGTAGAACTTAATGGTGATACATTATCCATGTTTGTTTTTTCAACGAACGGAGATGGTTTATCATCAGCTGATGTTGAAGGATTTATAACAATCTTGTCTTTGTTCTTTTCTGCCACTGTTGTTATTTTGTCACTAATTTCGCTTCCAGAAGAGGTTGACGTGGGTTCATCGCCTTTGATTTGGTTTTGTGAAAACAGTGAGGGTGACGTTGGTGCAACTATAAATATATTATTATGTTCGATGGAATGTTCTGTTGGTATATCATTTACCGGAACCACAGACGCTACTGGTTCAATCAATATATTTTCTGTTACTGCATTTTCAGATTGCGGTTCGTTTAGTTTAGATGGAATTTCAGTCGATGAAACATTTTCTACCTGTGGATTTTTTTGATTTTCCTCTGCGAGTGTCTTTGGTGGTTCGGGCTGGCTTTCAGCCTGTGGACTGCTTTCGACTAGAGGCTTATTCTGTTCAGTGGGTTCATTTTCTGTACTTGGAATTTGAGTTGGTGATACATTTTCTGATTGAGAATCTTGATTTCCTACATTAGGAAGTTCCGTTTGAGATATGTTTCCTCCTTGAACACTACCTTGATTTTGTTCTGTGGGTTTATTATCTGATTCGAGTTGACTTTCCGTATGTGAACTGTTTTCTACTAAAGGTTTATTTTGTTCAGTGGGCTCACTTTCTACCTTCGGAAATTCAGTTAGTGATACATTTTCTCCCTGTACACTATCTTGAATTTGTTCGGTAGATGTTTTATCTGATTCTAGTGGATGTTCAGTTTGTAAGTTACTTTCTACGATAGGTTTATTTTGTTCAACGGATTCATGCTGTGCATTTGGAATATCAGTGGGAGTTACATTTTCTGATTGTAAATTATCTTGGTTTTTCTGTTCTGTGGATATATTACCTGCTTCTAGTTGATTTATGACTCCTGGAATGTTGTTCTCTAGTGGTTTACTATTTTCAGTAGTTTCATTTTCTACATTTGAAGTTTCAGTTGGTGATACATTTTCTCCTTGTGCACTACCCTTGTTTTGTTCTGTGGCTGTATTATCTAATTCAGGTTGACTTTCACTCTGTGGAATAATTTCTAATAATGGTTTATTCTGTTCAGTGGGTTCATTTTCAATGCTTGGAATTTGAGTGGGTGATGCATTTTCATTGTGAGTACTATCTTGATTTTGTTCTGTAGGTGATTGGTCTGATTCCGGTCGAATTTCGGTCTGAGGACTATTTTCCACTATATGTTTGTTTTGTTCAGTGAGTTTATTTTCAACTTTTGGAATCTCTGTTGGTAATGCATTATCATTTTGGTTACTATTTTGATTTTGTTCTTGCGATGTAATACCTGATTCAGGTTGATATTCATTCTGTGGGATATTTTCTACTAAAGGTTTATTTTGTTCAGTGGGTTCGTTTTCGATACTTGGAATTTGAGTTGGTGGTGCATTTTCTGTTTGAGAATCTTGATTTCCAACTTTAGGAAGTTCCGTCGGAGATATGTTTTCTCCTTGAACACTAACGTGGTTTTGTTCTGTGGGTAAATTATCTGATTCAGGCTGACTTTCCGTATGTGGACTGTTTTCTACTAAAGGTTTATTTTGTTCAGTGGATTCATTTTCTAATTTGGAAATTTCAGTGGGTGTTGCGTTTTCGGTTTGGGAACTATCTTTATTATTCGGTTCAACCGGTGTTTGAACTGATTCCGGTTGGATTTCAGTTTGTGGACTGTTATTAAGTAAAGGTTTATCTTGTTCAGTAGGCTTATTTTCAATTTTAGGAATTTCAGTTGGCAAATAATTTTCTGATTGTGAATCATCTTGATTTGGTTCTGTGGGTGTTATTTCTGATTCTGGTCCTTTTTCAGTTTCTGGGTCGTTTTCTACAAGGGGCTTGTTTTGCTCATTGGGTTTATTTTCTATTTTTGGGATTTCAGTAGATTCGGTATTTCCTTCTTGTGGATTTTCCTGATATTTTTTTGTAGATGTAATTTCTGATTCAGATATATTTTCGTTCTGTGGTTTATTTTCTGATGGTTCATTAACTACGTTAGGTATTTCAGTCGAGACTACATTTTCTTCTTGAATCTTATCGTTGTTTGCCAAATTTTGCTCTACATTAGACGGATTATTTGTTGGTAAATTATCCTCTTGTGGCGATTGAGTAAATTCTTGATTGCTTTGATCCGAATTATTTTGATTGATAATGTTTGATGATGTAGTATCAATTATAGAGTCTGAATTTCCCAAAGGAGTGTTTACATTGTCAAGTTGAGTTAATTTTGTTGTTGTTTGTTCAGTGTCTTCGTTTAATGGAACAACTGTGATAATATTGTTTTCTCCTGTGTAGTTTTCAGTACTTCCTTCATTATTTTGATTTGCATCAGATGTATCAGTTGGTGATTTAATATCTACGTTTTGTTCGTGATCACTAGATTTAATAGGTTCTTTTTCTGCAACAACAGGAGTATCAGTTTGTTGTTGAATTCCTTCTTGTGGTTTGTCTTGAGTATTAGAACTCTGTGTTTCACTTTCTACAGAAGTTTCTGTTAGTTCGGTTGGTGAACTGGACGCAAGACTGTCTTGACTTTGAACAGGACTTTCATTATTATTGTTTCCTTCATTAACACTATTTTCATTGATTATGGTCTGAGTAGTTGGGTTAACTATATTCTCATTCAACGATGGATCTGCTGCGGGTGACTGCGTTGGTTTCGCTTCGTCTATCGATGTCGGCTCTAGAGGTTTATTTGTACTTTCATATTTAATCGTATCAGACTCTGTACCAATAGGGTTAACTTGGTTTATTAATTCTGGTTTGGTACTTGAATGTTCTGGTTTGTTGTCTTCGTTATTTGTATGTGTACTGTCGTTTTCTGGTAAAATATTCGGCCCTGCCACGGTATTATGATTTTCGGGAACAGATTCGTGGGATTCTTCATTTTTATTGGTCGTTTGATCAGACGTTCCCGCTGATAGAGTTTCGCTAGCATAAGCCACCGTAGTGTATATTTGATCAGAATCTACATCATTTTTATCATCTTGTTGACTTGGTTGATTTTCTCCCAATTTTTCGTATACCTCATCACTCGTCGGGAATTTTTCAGCTTCGTTTCCATCCGAATCACTTAGTAAAACCGGTTGTAATGTAGTCGAATCGTACGAGTTCATTGTTTCATTAGCTATAATATATAAAACATTCAAGTTAACACAAATACTTTAGTTTAATAATAAAATATTTCCCATAATATCCTTACGGCATTGATATGAGGTAGGACAACATTGTCCAGTTGGTGGTGTTTCCGGAGTGCAGTCTTTTCCCCTTAGTGGTTCGCCACAATCTTGGACTGCGCACACGATATCGCCTCTCATACAGTAGCAGTGTTCACAAGGTTTTTCCGTGACCATGGTAATAGACTCTCCATCTCTGTAGACTTCATTGTTGACCTTGCAATCGAATGGCGCAGAAGTAGTTGAAAAAACTAATCCACCACTTAATTGTGGTGTGGATGTTGTAGACTTTTCACTCTCGTAATCTAAAAACGTAACGTTAACTAATTAGGCTATTTTTAATAATATGTATCAAACTCGTTACATAAATCAGTGCGTGTACACGGGTCCTAAATTAAAAATAAAAATATCAGATTTTCGTTATTGGATTTTAACGTTATTTTCATTTTTATAGTTTTAGTGTCATAAAAAATAAAAACTATTTCTTGTTAATTAATTTCAATTATGATATGTGGCGTACCAGTTTACTTAACGTATAACAAATTGTGATGTAGAGACTCGAAATCGTTCAAATCTCGTGGCTTAAAAAACAAAGATGGACTACGTTGATAGGACGAGTTATTTTTGTTTTAACCGTAATTTTGTTCGTTACGTGTACATGGTAATCGCTGATGGTTGAATTGCATTCGGCAATCGGTTTTTCATTAAACGGTAATCGGTTTGCATTTTTCGCATCACAACATCGTTAACGACGAAGCGGTGCGAAGTCATAACATAACTTCGTATAACATATACATCGCATAACAATTCAAAACCAAACTAACCGCAATCGTATCGAACCGGACAACAAACGCCGTCTTGGTACACAGGTCTGCAGCCCTCCACGTGCAGCGTACACTCTTGCATGACACAAGCCGTTCGGTTTCTGATGCAGTAGCATAGTTCGCACGGTTTCTTCGGGTCCGACGGTACCTGCGAAAAAAAAAAAAATTACATCCGGTTCGGACGCACGCCGGTTCGCTATGCCCACGAACGCAGCGGTCACCAAACGGTCCTATTCCGTGGTCGTTCCCAGTAGTGGCTCGTAGTAAGTATTCTGGGGAGACTTAAACTATTTAACATAACCTCCATACAACAACGAACAAAAAAAAAACCCTTTTATTGGAAAATTAATATTATTTATTAATATTATTATATTAATAACATTATATTAATTAATATACATAATACTTAATTTAATATTTAGTTAATATTTTTATTACGCAGTCTCAAAGTCTCCCCTGACAAGCCGCCCCTGGTCGTTCCTCGGTCGCCGCGCGCACTAGTTTCGTCTATCGCTTCTCCCCCCCCCTCCAGGACTGGTGATCACCGGCGACATGTGGCCGTTGCGATTCACGCCCACGCTCACCTGCGCTCCGTCCGGGAAGAATCCGTTCTCGTTCATCATGCACCCGTAGTCGTCGCGCCATCCGATCTCGGTGGTCGTGGTCGTCGTGGTCGTGGACCTCTGTGTCGTTGTTGAGCTGGTCAGCAGATGCACCGGCACTGTAACATCCGAACCAACTGGGTGGCTTATTGACGTACGAAAATCGTAGACGGTGTGTGTGTGTGTAGGGGTGGAGAAGAGTTTAATATTACAACATACCTTCCGGACACGAGATGACCGGACAACACTGGTCCGGCGACTTCTGCACCGTGCAGTCCTGCCCGATAGCCTTTGAGAACGGGCACACCCTCAGGTAACACATTAGCATCCGGTTGTGGCACGTGCAGTTCAGACACGGCTCGTTGGTCACTATGCGATCGCCCTCCTCGTAGTGTTGATAGTTGTAGTAGCAGCCGTTCGGGTCTGAACGGAAAAAAAAAACCAACACGATAAAATAATAACAACAGCAACGTGATTCCGATAAATAAGAACAATTATTGATCGGATCGTGAAATATGTAAGGCTATGTCCTGGATTTTACACAATATTAACCACGGTAACGTGTAATAACTGTGCTCCTATTGCTCTCGTTTTGTTAATAATATTTTTATTAAAACTACGATGTATTATAGTAACATTTTAATACATCAAATGTTGGTATTATGATAAAAAAAAATAATATAGACTCTTTGAAAAAAGAAATATACTACATACACATAATAACTTAAAATAATTTATTAACTTTTCGTTTTGTTCAAGTTTAATTTGACATTTTGATATCAAAACTATATTTGGCACTCTATAAATATCTTATTACGGCATGCGTCTAGGAAGAAGGTTTGGGTGTTCAACGCCCTCCTACCACCAACTTTTTAACGAATTAAAAAAAAAAAAATAATTTCTTAATATAATTAAAGTTTATTTTGGTAAACATTTGCCAGGATTGTTTTTATAATTCATTGTCGATCCATCTAGTACTAAAAATTAATTATTATCTCGTGAAATAAATACATTTGAAAAACGTGGTATTAAAAATATGCTTCTCTCCAACCCCGAAAAATGTCTCAGCATGCCTCTGAATCATAGTATAATTTTTTAAATAAATAAAATACAACCACATTAGACCGTTGACATTGGTGTAGGTGTTTTGCATAGCCGATTAGCCTTCTTCTGTACATGTTAAAAATACAAATATGAACAGGTAAACTTGAAAAAATTAAACGTTGTATTTTTATTTTTATTTTATCGAGCACAGAAATGTATAAATATTGATTCATTATTCGATTATAATAAAGAATACAGTTCGTTTTTAATTAAAAAGCGTTTTTGTTCAAGATTTTATTGTTGTAAGGAAAACAAATATATTAATCCGAATATTCTTACCGTTAAAGTAATCCGTCAAGTCTGTTTGTTTTGCTTCGATTTCATCATAAGTCGCTGGAGCTGAAATAAAAATTAGTTTTTTTTTTCATTTTTTTATTTTAAACCCATCGGAGTGAATACGGATTAAATATGTGGGAAAAAATACCATTAAGCGTTAGGTTATGATAAATTATAAATAGGGAAAAAACCATCAACGATATATAGCTATTTTATACGTGTTCCGGTATAATAATAATAATATACAGACTTATGACGAGGATAACAATGACGATAATCGGTTATACGTATATAATAAGTGTACCGTTAACTGCGCTCTTGTTTTTGCGTGACTCTTCGCATTAACACTGTGATTGTTATTTGTTTTATGGTGCGTGAGAGGTACAAGAACCATATATTGTATTATTATTACAGGTGTACTATGCGGTATTAATTATTTTTATAGTTTTTCGAACAAAAATCTTTTTGTACGACTTCCGACTCAATCCTACAGTCGCACGCGTTTCCAGAATTTCCGAAGCGAAAAAGCACCGAGTATATAATTATTATTGTAGTTATTACCAGGTTTCAGATCTTATGGAATACTGACAATTTCTGATATTTTTTCTATTTTATAACTTAATTAAAGAATCTATAAAAAATCTCTATAATAAATTATCCCTTTAATAAAAACATGAAAAATATTAATAAAAAAAACTTTAACATTGTTTACAATATTTTCTTGTTTTTTTAATAAAAAAAAATCTAAGAAATTTACTAATTATTAGATTATTATTAATTAATATTGATTTTATAAATTGATAAAAAAAATGAAACTGAACTTTAAGGATTTTTCTAGTCATAAAACTTTTTCACGATTTCATATGAAAACGATAAACACAAAACAAAAACTAATTGAATAATATTAATAACATTTTTAATAACATATTTAAAATTTTAGATTTTTAATCATTGTTACTCAAAACCAATTTATATCGAACTTTGCTCATACAAATTTCGGATAGTTATATTTAATATTTCTATTTGTGTTCAATAATAATTAACAGATGTTATATAGAATCTGAGCTCTTGTATATAGTATACTATAAAGATTATAAAAGCTTTAATGTACATCCGACAATTTCCATTTTACAGGAAAATTATGGTTATATGTATTATTACGAATGCAACAAAACCTATCATGTCCATTATTGGCGTATATTATTATAGGTATGTATGCGCTGTCCGGTCGTCGAGTTTGTATTCGGCCGCAAACGAATATGTACAAAATTTACGCGTACGAACATATTAACTCGTATATCGCTTTTTCCAAATCGGGAGAGCAGTAGTCGGCTATAGTCGTACTACAGTACATGACAAATATATAATAAGAGTGTAATAATAGACGCGCATGTATACCACTAGAGGCGGTTTATAAAGGTCTCTCGGACGTGAGACGTATAATCGCAACGCGCACGTAGAAAATGCGTAAAGTAGAACCTAACTGTAAAATTGTTTACTTCAAGAAAACAATCGGTAGAATATGGGACACGCGTGATTTATCGGTACCACGACCCGCAGGGTCACGTTTTGTAATAATTATTTACTCGGAAGTTTACGGGTAAGATGGCGCTCGTCTTTATGTAACCGGTTGTCGATCGCAGGCGAATAATCGACAGTCGAATCGGAAGATCGTGGAGGAAATTTGAGACGACGGCGGCTGGGTGGGGAAAAAATGCAGCTGACCCTTCAGTTATTACTACTAATGTAAAATATATAAACATAAATGAAAACCGGTGCATTGTTGCACTAAAGTTTTGCATTTTCTAAAGTGATATATGCACGAGCAAACGACGGCGTAATCGTATAGTACTCGTATAATAAGACGCGCAAACGGTAATTGACCATCCCGAGGCACGTAGATTCCTTACGAATTCCTCAAACGCGTGTTTTTTATTCTCTCTTTCTTTTTCATAATAACTTGGCGTATACTTTAGTGCCTTAACGAACTTTGTGCAATATAATATTTGCATACGTTTAACGAGACGTAATAATTTTCCCGCAGACGCAGTACAACAAATACATCATTTAAAAATATATATATATCATTCATGCTTACGTGACTGAAGTATAAATATACTTAATATTGTATACTATTTTCGTTGTGTAGATTAGGAAAACAGCAGTAAAATAATGTTTGAAAAGTTCATATTTTCGAATTCTATCGTATCGTACAAAGAATCAACGAATACGACTATAGCGTCTTAATGGAATTATACATGGTCTAAGTTGAAATGTCGACATATTCGAGTTATCGATATTTGCGTTATATTAATTAATTGTATTGCACATGGTTTTCGAGTAAAAAAAAATACAGTCGAACATTTACGTGGCTGATCGGACCTCCGCACCCTTATCCTGGTGAGAACATTCCGTAGTAATTTCTCTAGACGATGTATACATGAACGGAAAATAAAAAAAAGCCTATGCATTTAAACTGTTAACTTATTCTATCCGAAGAGTTTTGTCACGTGCGCCCGCTGCAGACTCGCATTGCACAACACACCATCGTTCAAGTCTCTCTAGTGAACCCGTACCCGTTACATCGATATACGTCGTCGTAATGACCAATAAAATATGTTTGCGTTTCGCAGTCGATTTGACAATCATTTTTTTTCGTATACTATTATGAGTTATAACGAATGGTTTACACGCCGTTGTGTTAATATTGTACGTTGAACAACAACGTAGGTACACACATACGTGTGCAACAAAATATTTAAATAAATGTACGGTGGACCAGGTTCAGATATTTCATTCCACTTTTTCGGCGGAAATGTTGATGACCGCGACATCCTGAGTGCAATGTGTTGTGCATATGTGTGTGTGTGTGTGTGTGTGTGTACCCATTAGCGAAATTCTGGAATAACGCATAATAATATAATGTATATAATAACGGTGTTCGCCGAGACTTCCGTTCGCCGTAGATTTTCTCACGGCATAGCGCCTATTTCGGTTTTATTGCTCGCCGGTTTTTCCTTCGAAACATAATAATAATTCGGGTCATTTTCTATCCTCGTCGCACGCACTCGTCATCATCATCATCACCCGTTGCAATCATTGAAGGCTGCAGGATTCTTTACAGTTATACGCATACACGAAATAACTCGCCGCAGAAACAAGTTCGGCGTGTGTGATGTTGCATCACGTAGGTACAAAAATAAAAATAAAACGCATAATATACGAGTGTACGTATTATGCTCATAGGAAAAGATCGACCGGGATGGTTTACAAACTAAGTGTGAACACGACGTACGTATTTCAAAAATATTTTCGGTAACATCGATAAAAAAAACTCGTCTATAAATAGTACTATTTTTTGAGGATTCATTTAAACCCGATTCGTAGTGTATAGTTATCGTGGGAAGAACTGCCTCGGGGTCAGAACTGTATTATTTCAGAGCACGTACCTAAAAAAAAAACACTTTATTTTCGGTGGCCGCGCAACGGAAAACGAAAAATCACGATCTTCGTTGTCGACCAATATGATAACAAACATCTGACGTGCGATATCCGTGGAGTCGATGACGATTACGAGATCGCGATCGTCCGTTGGCCGACGTCGCATAAGCCTTCTCGTAAAAATCGAATTTCTCAAAATACGCGGCACATACGTCACGGAAAAACTACGGAACTCTAACCGTAAACGATCGGGAACGATTCGGATCGGAATTCGGTGTTACGTTCCGTTTGTGTCGTTTCGCGTTACCGCAAGGAAAACGTAACGCCGGTTACGCGAGAATCGTGAACCCGGCACGAAACATCGTTTTTATGGCCAAGTTCACGGATATCCGACGACGATTACATCGCGAGTATTTTTTTACGGACCGGCACTGTTGTAGTCGACTAGACGGGCCACCTGTTACCACTGCTCTTGTCCGTATTTTTTTAACCCGAACACGTGCGTAAACGCGTTGTAACGTAATCGTGAATGCAGGTACTGGCGGAACGCGCGCGCGCGTTTTTCTTCTTCGTCTCCGGGCACGTTGAAACACGGTACCGAATCGAACCAGTCGACGGTGGATAAAGCAAACGGAATACGGTTGCTGCGAAAATGGTTTCACGGTCGGCGGACGAGACGGCCGCGAAACTACGGTTGGCTTACGGGGACCCGACCGCGGGACGGGACGGAAGAACGTTTGGCGCGCCATTGTAGCCGCGCGGTGTTCCTGCGAAGGTAGAAAGGTTTACCACCAAAGACCACGTTGACCACGGTGAAACCGTCAGGGAGCATTCGGTAATATTTGTTTACAACACGAACGGATTCGTCTTGTCGACGAGCAGAATCCGATTCGTTGCGTCGGTGCTTGTTCGGCGAAATGACTAGAGGATCGTGAAACATGATTTATGTTTGTTGTCCGCGACGATGACAACGAGCGTGCTCTCTAGGTTTCCTTTGGAATAGAAAATATATTTTTTTCTTTTCGCGCACCAAGTATATTCCAATAATAATCATAGTGATTTTGCAACAGCGTAATACGTCATTCACATGGCTCCAATGCATTCTATAGGTACGATAGTTATCGACATGATAGTATACGTTTTAAAATCATTTATGTTTTTAATTTTTTTTTCTTTCCTAAGAAGATTATATACTATGGTGTCGTGGAAAAACAAAATCTTTAACAGTGTAACAGATTGCATTATTTGGTAATATTTAAGTAAGTACCGTAGACTTTTGAATTAAGGATTGGAAGAAAGGGGTTATCGTTAACTTGGTATGACAACGTATAGGTGAGTACTTACCGGACTTGGTCAGCGTCACGCATACGATCAACAGGAGAGCCACGGTCACCTGTAAGCGGTGTCGAAAGCTCATGGGAGCTGTACTCCCCAGAGCCATGTCTAGTGGCATCGACCTGAAAACAAAAAAAAACAAAAATCTATTAGTATCGATAATTGGTTTTGTATCCCCGTTACACATCCGCGTATATTGATGGCTGGAGGAGGACCAAGACCCATTCATAACTGTACAAGTAGCCAGTGTTTAGTTTAATATAAGTATTATGCCGCCCCAGGGGGGGAGGACTCGGATAAAAATACATTAAACAACTCTACTATTATGCCTATCCCGTTCGTTTCGTATACTTAGATTAACGACGATTAATATCGTCGTCGTAACGTAATGTCTATGTGCATCATTTTCTTTTGAATACCGTTATAAGCAGAAGCAGCCTTACCGGATTAATAAAACGTTTGTGTGTGCGTGAAAGAATATAATTTATATATTTATAACAGTGTGATATGGTCAGATATATCTATATATAGCCTGACCTGTGTATCTCGTGTTCACACCGGACAAACCAGTCGCAGGTTTAACGTCCGTATATTCATGTGCGTATGTGCGTGCGTGCGTACATACGTACGTGTGCGTGTGTGTATACAAAAATGATAGTGAATTAAAGAAGATTTATGGGGAGTGCGTCTTATTTCCGATGATTATTATTATAATTATTATCATATACGCGTATTTGAGTCGTTATCATTATATCGTTTGCTCGAAGCGAAACGATGAATTCCTTCGCGCGCGTTGAAAATTACGTATACGCGTATATGTAGACGTACTTAGTATACGTTTTCGTAACACGCATATACGTACTATTGAGTGGCGGATAAAATACGAGTTTTTCAAAATCGTGTGAAGGTTTATTTTTCGTGAAAAAAAAATATGTCAAACGAACGAAACCCGTGAACGATATTACTTCCTCAGATAATCACTGAATTCGGTCGTTAGACTGGGAAAAAATATTTGTCTCCACCACAGTCCTGCAGCAACTCGACTTCCATATTATATTATGTTTATTAAAATAAGTTTTACGCTTATGTATCATCATGGTGTAGGAAATACGGTGTATTATAATTACCATAATATAACGTTATATCGTATTTGTAATCATACCAAGGTTTTCGACCGTATTTCAGCGTGCGCAACATGAGATTTTATAATAATTACGCGTTGTACGGTACATTGTAATATATATTAAACTTGAACGCGAAGGCATTAATTAAAACCGTCGACAGAAATAGGAGGAGTTTAAAATGTTTTTTTTTTTCAATCTTCAGCAAAATTTTATACGTAATATAGGTTACTCTTTTATGCGGTTTACGGTTGAAAAATACGTGTTTATATATTATTCGTTTGCGAGAATTTTAATTACGTGTACGTAATATCGTTTTATCGTTTGAAATGATTTCCAATTGTTTTTCTGCGATACCATCAGTGTTCGATAATATTAGTATTAATATGCGAAACGTTCAAAACCGTCGCCGCCACCGTTATCCGTTTTTTTTTTTATTTTTCCCCGAAGGCTGCAATATCCATACGTCATGGTGCAAACGATGAACGTTATATATTATATTTATACTGTTAATTTTTTTCCTACTTAAATGTACTATATCGTTGTGTCTGATACAGTAAACAATTTCAATTCGCGTAACATAAATAACCAGCGGAGTATACACCCTAGCTGCCATCAGGCACGATCGAAAAAAGGACAACGGTAATGATGACGATTCAATCGGCGACGGTCTACTCGTATTACAACAATACTAATATTACTGTGGCCGATATACACAATATATATTATGTAAATGATTAACGTATAATCTATACAACTACCGCGGTAGTGAACCGTAAACCGTGCGCGCCGTGTCTTCGTCCGGAGGCGATGTATTAAAATAATACCGACTGCGCGCGCGTCCATCCATCCGCGTATTATATACGTTTATTTTTAGAAAAGAAAAATTATATGTATACACTTAGCGTATTTAGGTTTGCAAGCGTATGCTAAATATATGTGTGTATATTTTTTATTTATTTTTTAATGACTAGAAAAACTGAGGTCTTTAAACTCAAAGCGAAGTATTGTATATGTTTATAAATGTTGCATCGCATGTCCGACACGACGACAAAACAAGATAAAAAATATAAATAATAATAATAGTACTAAGAAAAGTGGATAGTCGTGTATGTGAATGGAAATTCGTTCATAGAGGTAAGTGAGGTTTTTAGGATTTTCATTTTAAATCTATAATTACGCGTGTCTCGATTCGTGCTTTTTTCGCGCGCTTAACAGATTTGTTAAAAACCATTTGCGTATAGTCTTAAATTAATTAATTTTGCTCATATAATATTTTTTATTTTACACCTAGTTTTAAAAGACAAGCTCCCAATATTTATACATACGCATTGTATAGAAAAAAATCGACAAAAGCAAATTTATTTTTTTTACCAAGCAAAAATGTTGTTTTTGTTACTTAAAACTGTAGTACATATTATAATTTATACCTAATTATCAGGATAAAGGTAAGTGATATGTTTTAATATAAAGCATTCACATTTTATTTAACACGTTTTATAGTTAAAATATATTTTTATATTAAACCGTAGCCGGTACGTCTAAAATGCTTAGCATTCTTAAGATTTTTTTTTTTAAAAAACTGGTAAAGTTATTGCCTTCCTTGATCCACCCTTGTCCTTGGTCTTCAATAATTAGGCACATAATTTTCCTCCACCGACACGCGGCAACGATGACGTCTCGTTTATACGATAATAATACGGGTAATTACGCACCGACTTGAGACAAGATTTTTCTCTTCTCACAATCGTCCACTCTCCTGCAGGTCAGCCCGATTACTTGAACTGTTCCAAAAACGTTTCTATTAAGCGTCCGTAAGTCGAATACATAGTACAGACATGTTGCAACGGCACGCATTTGCATATTTCTGTTTCGGTCGTGAAAAACCACGTTGTTCATCATGCGTTCACTCGTAAATCGCAGTAGTCGTAAATAACGTACAATACGAGTACGTATAACGAACCCGGCACGCGCGACCGCGTGTGTGGGCACTTATATTTGCACTGGGTAAACGGACGCATAGAAAAAAAAAAAAAGAACCGAAACAGAACCACCTGTGTTAGTCACCGTAACAGTTTTATAATACGTATAATATATCGAGAACACGGTCGCGGAGCACTTGTTTTCGGCGCTCATCCCACTCGGCGTGGACGGCGGCATACGATTTTTTTTCTTCGCAGTCTAAATTACGACCGTCCGTTCACGGCGGGACAATTGATTTTGCTTTCGTTTTTCTATCTGTCACCATCGCCACCGCCGGTGCAGTATACGCCTTCAACGGGCGCCGTCCGTAGGCCGTCCGACAAGGTCGCGTCGTTGCAGCAACAGACAGCCCGTAACGCATAATCATCCTTCGCCCTCACACGATACCGTACAATATATTATACAGATATTCCATTAATATTCGTTTTTCGTTTACGGGCGACGGAAACGCGATTTAAAATATTATCACGTATACGTAAACTGTACATATCATTATGCATAATGTTATCAGCGGAGTCATTTGCAATGTAAGAGATGTATCACGCGTTGTCGGACAGAGTATACACCGAGCGTTTTATATCGTAACACAATTATAATTGTATGGCATTATTGTAATATGTGTTTCTGTACCGTTCAGACAAAAAGTTGGACTCAACAATTAGGTAAAAAACGTGTATACGATAGAGATAATGGCAATGCGTTATGATTACCGAATTCTATACATTTTCGATCATATACGACTTTACAAACATTAAATATATATGTTATGTGTGAACAAACTTATTATATTTATTTCGCGTTAAATCATGTAGGTCTCGTGTATCTCACGACATTGATAATTTTCGCCTTGATTGTCGAACACTGTTTTGATATAAATACACAGATTTTACGTGTCCGATGGTTGGATTTCTTTTCTTATACTTGCTCGAGTAATTGACTTTAATAATTCAAAAATAATAACATAACCCACTAAAAATATCTACTTTTATAAGTTTTCGTTTTCCTAACGTTCAGTAATATCACGGTTTATGTGCATAACTGATACATGTAAGTATGAGTATGATAAATGTCATATAAATAGAGACTGCTTAAAAAACTCACTAGGCCCAGTAATATTATCATACTGCGGGTCAGAAAAAAAATAGAAAAAACAACTGTCAAAAATTGCAAAATGTAAAAAAAAAAAAATTAAATGAGGTCAATAGGTATTCTATAGTAAATTATATTTATATACTCCATTCTCATGTCTTCAAATCTAACTATCCTTCAAATTATATTAAAATAATTTATGATGTACATTTTACAGATTATAGTTGTCTATTAATAAATATAAAAAACAAACTATGACCGCATATATTGTTTAAATTAAGGTGTTGCTCCTATAACCTATAAGTGTCTATACCAATAAGGTAAATGGACAAAAAGACATAGACAGAGGTCAGAGAGAGAGAAATAAAAACCCTCCTACGTGTGAGGTGTTTCGAGGCGTATATGCGGTCGCAAACACGCGTGCCAAATTTCATTTCCATACTCATATAATGTATTATAATATATTTTAGGCGATTTATTCTATATCGTATAGTTTCCGTACGTAAGAATCATTGTTCTGTCGTCGTAAATTTATCTAGCACAAAAAGCTAAAAATAAATTAGGTAAAGTTAACGATTTTCGTTTTAGCTGCGTTTTAAAAAATATATTCTCACTCGAAAATATCTACATAATATGTAGATAATATATTGTATTATATCGAGTGACTCGGTTTGTTTGAAAACACTGAAATCGTGTTCAGGATAATTAGGATACAGTTGTATTGTAATAAAGTATCACGATGTAGGCGTATGCAAGGTTCACAGAGAATTAAAAAAAAAAAAAAAACTGTTAAAATACGGCTCGCGGGGCGCAGATGAAAAATATACAAACGCGTTCATAGTATATGAGTACATGGTGTATACGCGTTTCGCGTGATGATGTTGAAGAATATTCAACGGAACGTTTTTATCAGAGGTTGTTACCTATTA